CTTGAGTGGGATCTCCAATCCATGGTGAGAAGAAAAGAAAAGCGCTATGGCTGGCTGCCACTGTTCAGTTTGTTGAACAATGATATTCGCCTTGTGGTCTGAATAATAACAGCAAGAGTGATGTCAATAGCTGCTGATAGCAAAACCCATGCTTTGAGACAAACAAAACCAAATTGCAAATATCATCCATTAATCTTGACAGATATTGTTTGCTTTGAAAGAACAATTACTTGTTCTACTACCTATTGTATTGTAACATTTGAAACATACATATTATCCTTTAGTTTTAGTAATGACATTGGAATCCTTATTTGAAATTATGTTACAGCTGAAGAAAATTCTACTCTATATTATAATTATGCAATTCCATAAACCTCAAAATTATTTTAAAACAAAATCATTTCCTGCAGAGGGTTTGAGGACTATGGATCACTTTATAATCAGAAAATTCTTGTTTTTGAATTGTTGCTTTGCATTAGGGATGAGCAAAACACACCTGAGTTAGGTTCAGCAGAGCACAAAAAGAGTTTAAATGTTGAACCCAAATCCCATTAAAGGGAGCCAGATCTGTCAAATCAATTTTCTTCATTTTTAAGGTTAATTTTTAAGGTTTGAAAAAGAAGTTAATGAGGATCTGGGTTCTCTCCCAGGTAACATGTAACAATGCAAAATAAAAAATTAAAAAAGCATTTTACAATGTCTTTAATTCACATGTCACTGCAAGCTGTAAATAATGCAATCCTTTGACCCCATTGAATTACTTATAAAATAATATGACATTCTATATGTCACTTGTGCTACACATGTTAACCACTTGACCTCCGGAAGATTTATCCCCCTTCATGACCATGCCATATTTTGCTATATGGCGCTGCATTACTTTAATTGACAATTGCATGGTCATGCAATGCTGTACATAAATGAAACTGATGTAATTGTTTTTCCCACAAATAGAGCTTTCTTATGATGGTATTTGATCACTTCTGCATTTTTTTATTTTTTTCTCTATAAATTAAAAAACACTGACATTTAAAAAAAAGATATTTTTACTTTCTGCTATTAGACATATCCAATAAAAGAATTTACAAAATATAATTTCTTCATAAAGTTAGGCCAAAAAGTGTTTTGCTACATATTTTTGGTAAAAAAAAATCCCAATAAGTGTATAATTCTTGGTTTGTCCAAAGGTTATAGCATCTACAAATGGTGGTATATATACTGGAATTTTTTACCAGTAATGGTGGCGCTAAGCAACTTATAGCGGGACTCCGATATTGTGGCAGACAATCTGACACTAACTGACACTTTGTGGGAACCAGTGACACTAATAGAGTGATCAGTGCTAAAAACGTAAACCTGTTGATCTGCTTCTGCTGTGTCTAATCACAGCAGCAGATGCTGTGCTCCGGCAGGGGAAGCCCCCCTGTAGCCCCCCAGTAGCAGAAGTGCAAAATCATGTTTGTGTACACTTGTATTGGGTTGCCAGCCTTTACATGTACATGAATTTTAATAGCATCCCAGCCTTAGTCCGTAGAGTTCAAAATTGAGTTGGCCCACCCTTTGCAGCTATAACAGATTCAACTCTTCTGGGAAGGCTGTCCTCAACATTTAGGAGTGTTCCTATGGGAATCTTTGACCGTTTTTCCAGAAGCGCATTTGTGAGGTCAGGCACTGATGTCGGATGAGAAGGTCTGGCTTGCAGTCTCCACTCTAATTCATCACAAAGGTGTTCTATCAGGTGGAGGTCAGGACTCTGTGCAGGCCAGTCAAGTTCTTCCACCCCAAACTCACTCCATGTCTTTATGGACCTTGCTTTGTGCACTGGTGCGCAGTCATGTTGGAACAGGAAGGGGCCATCCTTAAACTGTTCCCACCAAGTTGGGAGCATGAAATTGTCTAAAATGTGTTGGTATGCTGACACCTTAAGAGCTTCCTTCACGAGAACTAAGGGGACAATCCAAACCACTGAAAAACAATCCTATACCATAATCCCCCCTCCACCAAACTTTACACTTGGCCCAATGCAGTCAGGCAAGTACCGTTCTGACAACTGCCAAACCCAGACACATCCATCGGTTTGCCAGACAGAGAAGCATGATTTGTCACTCTAGTGAACATGTCTCCCATGCTCTAGAGTCCAGTGGCTGCGTGCTTTACACCACTGCATCTGACGCTTGGCATTGCACTTGGTGATGTAAGGCTTGGATGCAGCTGCTCGGCCATGGAAACCCATTCCATGAAGCTCTCTACACACTGTTGTCATGCTAATCTGAAAGCCATACCAAATTTGTTATTGACTCTGCAGACAGTTGGTAACTTCTGCACACTGTGTACTTCAGCATGCACTGATCCCACTCTGTAATTTTACGTGGCCTACCACTTCATGGCCGAGTTGCTGTTGTTCTCAGTTGCTTCCATTTTGTTATACCACTATAGTTGACCATGGAAAATTTAGTAGCAAGGAAATTTCAGAGATGGACTTATTGCACAGGTGGCAACCTATCACAGTACCACACTTGAATTCACTGAGCTCCTGAGAGCGACCTATTCTTTCACAATGTTTGTAGAAGCAGTCTGCATGCCTAGGTGCTTGATTTCATACATCTGTGACCATGGAGGTGATTGGAACACCTGAATACAATGATTTGGAGGGGTTTCCTAATACGTTTGGCAATATAGTGTACATGATTTTGCACAGAATGCTCCCCCTGTAGCAGTAAATCTGCTACAGGGCAGATAGCAATGGATAAAACAAGAAAAAAATTACAATAAGTCTCCCAAAAATCAATACGAGGCCCTTCAGATCTGGAATTTTAGTGGTGCCCGACTCACCAGCAAAATGATATGAGCTCCCGCCAACATTAATACCATACCCTTCAGATCTGGTAAGGGGGAACCCTGGATAAAAAAAAAAAAATGACATGGGTCCCCCAAAGATATTTCAGATGTGGTACAGTTATTAAGCAGAAACCCTTCACAAAAAGATTGTGCGGTCAACCAAATACAGTATATACCAGACTCTTAAACTGAGCATGCAGTTTTGGAAGGCCAGGAAATGTGGGCTGCTCCCCCAAACCAAACCATGGGGAGCCATGTTGATGAGAACACGTATCTTTTCCTCACAACCCTGGCCAGGTGGTTGTGGGAGTGCAGGGGGATATATTAGAATTGGAAGCCCACTTTATATAAACATTTTGGAAAGCAAATACCCCAACACATTTTCTAAAATGCATTGCAAGTCTTTTGGAAATGTAATTTTTTGCCACAAGTGTTTGGAAAATGTGGAAAGAAAATGAAAATTTATTTTATAACACAAAGTTGTCAATTGATAAGATAATTCTAACACACAGCAGGGGCATTACAGCATTACATTTCAAAACACATTCTACTACTCCTAACAAGTATGGGAATACCACATGTGTAAGCTCTTTTCAATGTTTGTACTATGTACTGGACATTGCAACCTGTGTATCGCAAAAATCAACAAATACTGAAAAGTCAGAATTTCTTATCTACTGTACACTGCTCAATAAAGTGAAAGGAACACTTTGAAAATACATCAGATCTCAATGGGGAAATATATGCTAGATATCTATACTGATATGGACTGGGTAATGAGTTAGGAACTTAAGGATTCCCCAATGTTTGATAGAAATGAAAATTATCAACCTACAGAGGACTGAATTCAAAGACACCCTGAAAATCAAAGTGAAAAAATGATGCAGCAGGCTAATCCATTTTTCTCAAATTTCATTGCAGCAACTCAAAATGGTACTCAGTGGTTTGTACGGCCCCCACATGCTTGTATGCATGCTTTACAATGTCAGGGCATGCTCCTAATGAGACGACAGATGGTGTCCTGAGGTATTTCCTCCCAGATCTTCCTCCAGGAACTGCCTGCATACTCTCGCCACATGAGGCCGGACATTGTCATGCACCAGGAGGAACCCAGGACCCACTGAACCAGTGTACAGTCTGACAATGGTTCCAAGGATTTCATCCTGATACCTAATGACAGGCAGAGTGCCCTTGTCTAGTCTGTAGAGGTCTGTGCATCCCTCTATGGATATGCCACCTCAGACAATCACTGACCCACCACCAAAACGGTCATGCTGAATGATATTACAGGCAGCATAACATTCTCCATGGCTTCTCCAGACCCTTTCCCATCTGTCACATGTACTCAAGGTGAACCTACTCTCATCTGTGAAAAGCACAGGGTGCCAGTGGCAGACCTGCCAATTCTGGTGTTGAATAGCAAATGTTAATTAAGCTCTATGGTGCTGGGCAGTGAGCACAGGACCCGCTAAAGGATGTCAGGCCCTCATGCCACCCTCATGAAGTCTGTTTTTGATTGTTTGGTCAGAGACATTCACACCAGTGGCCTGCTGGAGGTAATTTTGTAGGGCTCTGGTAGTGCTCATCCTGTTTCTCCTTGCACAAAGGAGCAGATACCAGTCCTGCTGATGGGTTAAGGACCTTCTACAGCCCTGTCCAGCTCTCCTAGAGTAACTGCTTGTCTCCTGTAATCTCCTCCATGCTCTTGTGACTGTGGTGGGAGACACAGCAACCTTCTGGCTATAGTACGTATTGATGTGCCATCCTGGAGGAGTTGGACTGCCTGTGCAACCTCTGTATGGTCCATGTATCGCCTCATGCTACCAGTAGTGACACTGACCCTAGTGAAAAACAGTCAGAAAAGATGAGTAGGGAAAATATGTCAGTGGCCTCCAGCTGTAAAACCATTCCTGTTTTGGGGGTAGTCTCATTGTTGCCCATCTAGTGCACCTGTTGTTAATTTCATTAACACCAAAGCAGCTGAAGCTGATTAACAACCCCCTCTGCTACTTAATTGACCAGATCAATATCTCAGGATTTAATTAACTTGATGCTATACTCTGATTAAAAAGTGTTCCTTTAATTTTTTTGAGTAGTGTATATATTTTTTGGGTCAATGCCTCAATAAACATTGAAGCCATTACATCAATATGACAGTCAGACCCAGGGGCGGACTGACCATTTGGAAACTCGGGCACTGCCCGAGGGCCCAGGGTCAGTAGGGGGCCCCATGAGATGCCCCTGGTACCTTTTTCATAGGCTTTTTTTGAGTTTGGGCAAGGACACAGGGGCCCCATGATCCCCTATTGCCCGGGGGCCCCATGAGTTGTCAGTCTGCCCCTGGTCAGACCTTTCCTCAAATAGAAAGGTTTGTTATGAAAGCATGCATAGCATTTTCTTATGACAGATTTCCTTTAAAAATGCAATAAAATAACTTCTATCTTACTTCAGTATTATTTATTTACGTTGTTTTAAAGAAATAAAACTGCCAAGCTGTATGAGTCAAGAATACTTGACCAATCTTTTCCTGATCTTCTGCTGGAAGCATTCAGTTTTCAACTTCCAACTGTGTCTTGTCATTTGGGATTGCCTTGCAATAAATCATTAACTCGGTCTCATTAAATTGACATCACTACCCTAGAATTATTGGGTAGTGTTGGAATGGGAATCTAGGGGTATAGCCAAAAAATAAATAGAAACAATAAAAGAACAATTGCTACACCTAGCTGGCCTGTAGTTTAAATTTCTACATAGATAAACATATTAGTTTAGAGTACGCATTACTACTACATTTTTATTATAAATTTGCAGTAAAATATATAAGCCAGACACAAATATCAGTGACAAAATACTGATAAAGTGAAATTGGCTCAGAAAGCCACAGTTAAATGTGCAGATTCTTTATTCTATGCAATATGTTAGAGTAAATTGATCCCCGTGGCTCTATATAATTCTATAGGTAGTACTGCTTGCTGTTACAGATTTGAAAATCATGTAACCCCCCCCCCCCCCCCCATTTCGAAAGGGATGGAGCAAACAGCATATCAGGCAGACAAATGCACAAATTGACATTGTTAGCAAATGCACATGCAGGACATGGCTTTTCTAATTATCTTCACAGAGTTGTCATGGATTTTTTCAAGACATTTCTGTATCCTGTCAATGAAAATTGTTCATTTAGAGGTGTTATTTTCCCAGAATTCAAACCTTTATTTCATTTAACTAATTGAAAATGAAGGAAATAGAATTTAATTATGCATGTTAGTTATGTTTAGGTTTATAGGAATACACAATGTCCTGCAAAAGCATCCACTCCCCTGGACTTTTTCATGCTTTCACGTACAATTACAACCTCTACTGTTAGTGTAGCGAAACCATGTAAACACAAAAATATATGGCTTTATTTTATTTTTTAAATTATTGATTAGTAATATTTCATTTAAAAAAAATATATAAAATACATTTGGCTTTATTTTGTTTTTTTCTATATTGGTGTCAACCCCATCTTTGTCTAATGACCTTTTTTTTTTTACTATTCCCATTTACAGACAATGTAACCCAGTAATCTTGAGCATGTGAAAACTTGCTCCTATGTTCTTGCATTTGCTGATAAATTGCTATGATATCTTTCATGTACTACTTGACATGTCCTATTTGTTAAACTTTATCAAAAAGTTGGAAGGCTACACAATATCAGTGCTTTTTCATTCAACCCAGCAGGCTGAACAAAAAAAACCTCACAGATCACAGTATTAACACAAGCGGTGTTAGTAGAGTGATCTCCCCTGCTTTGCTATTGTGTTGTGAGAGGGGGACTGCTCCCCCCCCCAGACCAGCCATTGCCTGAGAGGGCTGATTGGAAGTTGATCGTCCAGGGGTGGACTGACCATTTAGAAACTCGGGCACTGCCCAAGGGCCCAGGGTCAGTAGGGGGCCCCCCATGAGATGCTCCTAGTACATTTTTCATAGGCTTTTTTGAGTTTGGCCAAGGATACAGGGGCCCAATGAACTCCTATTGCCCGGGTGCCCCATGAGTTGTCAGTCCGCCCCTGCGATTGTCTGACCTTTTTCTGTCATGTCCCTTCAACAGAAGCCTGGTGAACACCCAGCTTCTGTCAGACCAGCTGCTGTACTGTCAGGGAGTGAGGAGCCAGACACACAAGGAGGTGCAATAAAAGGTAGGTGTCAGAGATTGCCGCGGCGCTGGTCCCAACGCATGTGCAGTAGACCGTCTCATGCGGGGATTCAGGCGCTAGGACTCAGTCCACCGTGACGACGGAGTTCACGCATGCACACTGGCGGGCATGAATGCGCGATTGGCACCAATGACAGCACGGGGCGCGATATTTAAAGTGTCCGGTGCTGTCACTTGTTGCCGAATGGTCTTTATGCATATCCTGTTACCTGTGTTGTGAGTACTTTGATACGGATTGTCTGACCTAGCTGCCTTCTCCTGTCCTGACCCCTTGGCTTGCCTGACTCTGCTCCTTGATGTTCCCCTTTAGATTTGATCTCTTGTTATTGACCCAGCGTGTGACCCGACCATTCTTTGCCTACTGTTTTGTACCACACCGACCCCCCGGCTACCGACACGGCTTGTTTGACTCTGCCCTTGCTCATTCCTCCATCCATCCATCCCTCAGGGATCCCCGGGTCCCCTCACATCAGACTCTCACCCTGCAGGAGCCTCTGGCAGACTCCTCTACACTGATAGAGATATCTGGTAGCTGCGACCTGGTCCCGGAGCATTCCAAGTCCATCCCCACCATCAGGGGCCCTGGTGAACAAGTGCTCCGGAACTTAGACTCCGCACTCTGGAAAGGCTCTATCAGGGGACTAATAGAGGTGCTGTCTGGTGGTCCCTTACAGTACCATTCGGCCATGACTGAGTCTGGAGGGAGGCCTTCACCTCTGGAGGATATTTGCAGGCATTTATCGGCCTTGACCCAGGCGGTTACCGCACTGCAGGATAAATGCACTCGCTTGGAGAACCGCTTTGACACTATGACCATGTCTGATGCCCCTTCCCAGGGCCCGGCTCCGGCTGTCAGCACTGGGGAGACTTCTAGACTTACCACAGGGGCTGTGGCTGCACCCCCTCCAACAGAACCCCATGTTCCCATGCCTGAACGTTTCCGGGGAGACCGTGCACGGTTCAGGGCGTTCCGGAACGCCTGCCTACTATACTTTGACTTGCAGCCCCGCACGTTTACGACCGAGTCGGTTAAGGTAGGGTTTTTCATCTCCCTACTTCAATACGAACCCCAGGACTGGGCCCATAGATTGAGGGAGAACCATGATTCCCAGTTAGAATCGGTAAACGATTTTTTCAAGGCCATGGCTATTCTTTATGATGACCCACAACGGGCAGCCTCCGCTGAATCCACTTTATACTCACTCCAACAGGGTCGCTGAGCGGCAGAGGAATATGCCTCTGAGTTCAGGCGATGGATGGGTGACACGCGCTGGAATGACGCTGCCCTGCGTCACCAATTCTGGGTCGGACTCTCAGAGGCCCTTAAAGATGAACTGGCCCGAGTGGGCCTCCCAGAGTCCCTGGAGGATCTGATCTCCCTGGTGATTCAAATTGATTGCAGGCTAGGGGGAACGCCGGTCTGAGAGGTCTGGCCAGGTTCAAGGAGTTACATGGGCACCACCCAGCGGTACAGGTCAGCTAACTTCCACAGACCACCTGCCATCCGTTCCAGTGGACACCTCGGAGTCCATGCAGTTGGGGCTGGCTCGACATACCCTGTCCCCGGAGAAGCGCCAGCGAAGACGTGCCAGAAACCTCTGCTTTTACTGTGGAGAATCCGGGCATATTGTGCGGACCTGCCCTGTGAAAGCACGTAAGTCGAGATCTTCAGTTCCTTCCTGTTCTATTGGGAATATAAGTCAGTCTAGTTACTTAGCGGTACCCCTCTTTTTTCAGCTCCAAGGAAGAACCGTGGAAACGACGGCTATCATTGACTCAGGCGCCTGCAGTTGTTTTTTGGATCTTGACTTTGCACGTCAGCAAGAGATTCCTCTACAGGCCAGAAAAAGGGGTCTCAATCTGTTTTTAGCTGATGGCTCCCGGATTAGATCGGGGTTGGTAGATCAGGAAACCCCCCCCTATGCTTACCACCATAATGGGACACCACCGGGAACTTTTACGTTTTGACGCCATCGTGTCACCCCTTTTCCCAGTGATCCTGGGGCTTCCATGGCTACAGGCCCATAACCCCCAGATCAACTGGGAAACCGGATCACTCAGTTTCCTTTTGGCATATTGTCAGGAACACTGTCACGCCTCAGGGCCCGGGACCCCCCACATTCTCCTGTGTTCCAAGGAGGATCCCAGTTTAAAACAGGTGGTTCCAGCAGCTTACCATGACTATCTTGACGTTTTTAGTAAATGTGGGGCCGACACTTTGCCTCCTCATCGCCCATATGACTGCCCAATCGACCTGTTGCCGGGATCCGAGATCCCTTTTGGCCGAATCTTCCCTTTGTCCGAGGTAGAGTTGGGGGTGCTTAAGGAGTATATAGAGGAGAACCTCCAGAAGGAATTTATCCACCCCTCCACCTCACCGGCGGGAGCGGGTATTTTCTCTTTGTGGAAAAAAAATATAAATCCCTGAGGCCCTGTGTGGATTATCGGGAACTAAACCGAGTCACAATCAAGAACCATTACCCCTTGCCTCTGGTCCCGGTGCTTTTTCAAAGCCTAAGGTCCGCCGCTTGCTTTACCAAATTGGATCTCAGGGGGCATATAATTTAGTTCGCATTCGAGAGGGGGATGAGTGGAAAACGGCTTTTCTCACTCGGTTCGGCCACTTCGAATATCTTGTTATGCCCTTTGGACTCTGCAATGCCCCGGCCACCTTCCAGCATTTTGTTAATGATGTCTTCAGGGATTACCTTGACATCTTTGTCATTGTATACCTCGATGACATCTTGATATTTTCGCCCTTCACTAGATACTCATAGGATTCATGTGGCAAAGGTTCTGGAGCGCTTGCACCTACATGGCCTATATGCCAAAGCTGACCAGTGTAGCTTCGAGCAACAGAGTATTTCCTTCTTGGGTCTGATCATCTCCACCGCGGGGGTTGCAATGGACCCCCAGAAGGTCGCGGCAATTCTCGAGTGGCCAATTCCTACTGACAAAAAAGGCGTTCAACGATTCATTGGATTCGCCAACTTCTATAGGAAGTTCATCAGGAATTTTTCAGGTCTGGTCTCCCCTATCACACAGCTAACCAAGCTTGGGACACACTTTAAATGGACATCAGAGGCCCAGGAGGCATTCGAATTCCTGAAGAAGTTGTTTACCACGGCACCCATCCTGGGCCACCTGGACGCAGCGCTACCATATGTACTAGAGGTAGATGCATCCGAGAATGCTGTGGGATCAATTCTGTCCCAGAGAAAGGGGCCAAAAGAGCTTCTGCACCCGGTGGCATTTTTCTCCAGAAAACTTACCCCGGCGGAGCGAAACTGTGACATCGGGGACCGAGAACTACTGGCCATCAAGAGCGCTTTGGAAGAATGGAGATACTTGTTGGAAGGAGCAACCCACCCGATTTTGATCTTTACAGATCCTAAAAACCTTGAATATCTGAGGACAGCTAGACGTCTAAGGCCACGCCAAGCCAGGTGGGTGCTTTTCTCTTCTCGTTTCTCATTCCATTTCACCTATAGGCCAGGTTCCAAAAACACTAAGCCAGATGCCCTCTTGCGCATGTTCAAAACACTAAGCCAGATGCCCTCTTGCGCATGTTCAAGGATCCCAAGGAGGAACCCAGGCCAGATACCATCCTGTCATCTGGAAACTTTTTGGCCCTTCAGACGGAACTGCGCGCAAAATTGCAAGACGCATCAAGGACATTGCCTTCCTTGCCAGGGGTATCATTCTCGAACGAGGGAGGTCTGATAAGGAAGGAAGGATTGATCGTAGTGCCAGAGGAGGTACAGATGCAGGTCTTGGGGCATTGTCACGACCACCCAATGGCAGGACATTTTGGATTGGCGAAGACGCTGGAGTTGCTTAGACACACCTTCTGGTGGCCTAACATGGCTGGAGATTGTGAGCGATACGTCAGGTCCTGCACCATCTGCCAAAGAAACAAGCCACCCAGAAACAAGGCCTGGGGGTTGTTACGTCCTTTGCCCATACCTGTTCATTCCTGGCAAATGATTGCCATGGATTTTATAGTTGAGCTTCCCCCGTCCCAGGGCCATACCGCGATCTTTGTTATTGTTGACTGCCTGTCAAAGATGGCTCATTTTGTGCCTTTGAAAAGCACCCCATCGGCTGTGGAGACTGCTCAGATTTTTATCAGAGAGGTGATCAGATTACATGGAGTCCCAGAAGACGTGGTGTCCGATCGAGGAGTGCAATTTACTTCCAAATTTTGGAGGGCGTTATGCAAGGCACTTGGCATTAAACTGTCGCTCTCCTCTGCGTTTCATCCCCAGACCAACGGACAGACAGAAAGGACCAACCAGACCCTGGAACAATATTTGAGGTGCTATACGTCCTTTCTGCAAGTCGATTGGCTGACACTCCTGCCCTTGGTGGAATTCGCTTATAATAATGCAAACCACTCAGCCACGGGACAATCACCATTTTTTGCAAACTATGGGTTTCACCCCACCTTCTTGCCTGACTTGATTGCTGAGAGCGCAGTTCCAGCCACCAAAGTATGATCAATTTTTTTTCTAATAATAATAAATTATTGCAGGAAGCCTGGAGGATAACAAGAGGATTTTTGACAAGAAGCAAAGGGGGGAACTGGTGCTGCAACCAGGGGAGAGAGTCTGGTTGGCAACAACAAATTTTTGGGGCCTTTTCATGTTAAACGCATGATTAATAAGGTAGCTTATGAGCTTGTCCTTCCAGAAACTTTTAAGATTCACCCAGTGTTTCATGTCTCGTTGCTAAAACCAGTTGTTGCAGATCCATTCCCAGACCAGGAATCCAGACCCCCTGAAGCCATTACTGTTGAGGAACAAGAGGAATTTGAAGTGGAAGCAATTCTAAATTGTCGAAGGGGGGGAGGCCAGACCCAGTTCTTGATTAAGTGGAAAGGCTATGGTCCTGAGAACTCTTGGGAACCTGCTCAAAATGTCCATGCCCCTAG